AGGGTAACCCAAGCCTGATCTGAACTACGGAAAAATCCTCCATGCTCAACAATCTGACGCAAGAATGAGATGACACGCTGGGTTCCTGTAAAGATATGGAAAAACTTGTTTAATATAGAAATAATACAATGATACCAGGGCAAAGAGATTTATATGAATCTTACCATAGTGGTCCATATCTGGTAGATTAATCTCATCACAGAAGAGCACCATCCACTTGTTAAGCTGAGCAGGAGCCAAGACAATGCCGTTGGGTGTCCTCCTGTATTCGCAGTAGTGATCAAATGTCTTCAGGAGTAGTTCTGGTGTAGTGGCACTAGAGAAGTTCAAACCTACAACCTGTTGAAAACAGATAGATGTGTTACAAACACTACTTATCAAATTCATTAATAATTCAAGAGGTAAACGCAATAAAAAATCATTGCTGTAAACGCATCTTTATTTGAGCAAGAGATTTGTCTTTGATTTGCATATGACTTTATGATTTTCTCTTAAAAGAGTATTTTCTATTGATTTTTTTTTTTGCAAAATATGCTTTGGTTTATGTTAGAATTTGATAAGCAATATAAAATATTGTGGTCCGACCTTTATAGGCTATAAAACTGCTCACTAGCAGCTCATATTTTATATATTACATGAAAAGGCCATCTTCATGTCATCAATAATTATTATGAAATATTATTATTAATTATTACCTCCATATCTGGTAGGGCTCTCAAAGCACTAAACAACGTCATGGTTTTGCCGCTACCAGGTGGTCCACACAGTACCAGGGGCTTGTGTTCTGCCAGCCAGGTATACAGTAAGGATTCATGACGGACGGTGTCAATAGTTGGTACAACAACATCAGGAGCTGCAACTTTGTGTGTTTCCACCTCAATTTGTGGGACTTTGGACTGCCATAGAAGCCACTCTCCCTGGATTGTAACCTGTTTAATATTAAATTCATTAATAATTCATATTTCCACCTCAATTTGTGGGACTTTGGACTGCCAGAGAAAGGTAAACACAATGGAAAATCATTGCCGTGAGCACATCTTTATATGAGTATGGTTTGCATAGAACTTTAACTTCGATTTTTTCTTAAAAATGACATTTTACCTTAAGGTTTTTAGCAAAATATGCTTTAGCTTCCATTGGAATTTCATAAGCAATATATTAAAATATTTATGTCCAACCTTTTATATTACATACAAAGTTTATCAGAAAAGATTGTTTAGCTTAAAATGGATACAATATGAAACCTCTCTTGTTCAGGCTAATGTCTGACTGTAGACATTTCAACAATGCCAATGTTAAAATACTTGTGTATACAAATTGGATCCAATTCTTGCCATTTTGACTTCTATTACACTTAATTCTATTACTCTAAACGTGTATTATACTTTTACAAACCTCATAGTCAATTAGTGGAGATGAACTAGATGGGAGTGGGATAGTTGTGATGTTTTTGATGTGTGCACCAAGCTCTTCACGGATCTTCAGTCTGCCATCACCACTGAATGACCATACAATAGAGAAAACTAGGTACCTCGGTACATAGCGCTCTAACTGGTCTCTCTGAAGAAAAATAGACATAAAATCAAGTCTTTTAATGTCAGAATTGTGCTTGCATTAAGGAGGATACCATTTTCCAGGAAGCTAAACAAAATGGGATTTTGGAACCTACAGCAGTTTTGCAATTATCAGACAGCAACATTCAACAACTGCTAAGATCAATGTTGAAATAATTTCAGGTCATTGTATAATCAAAAGCATAGAGGCACAGATGAACATTACAAATATTGGGAAAAGTGAAAGAATGAAAGGAGGGATGAATAAGAGGCAGAGAGGAAGAAAATAATATACAAAGGAATAGGAGAATGAGAATGGAGAAAAGAAAGAATGGATGGAATATAACTTACCTCCATTGGGAAATCAGGATGRTGTTGGTTGTACAGCAATACATTCCTGATGCCTTGGTGTAGCATAGAAAACAGGGATTCCAARGCRCTCATRCTTGTGAAGTCCATCACATGTTCCTGGCTYAAGGCATARTCCAGYCACTTCATGACAAGGCCYTTGGATACAAAGTGTGCACGCAGGATTTCAACCACATCTCTCTGGACCTACATGTATGATAATCAAACATTTTAAAGTTTATGTGGTTGAAAATATATATTTTGTCTTTCT